AAAAAAAAAAAAAAAAAAACAACTAAGAGCTTATAGAATAAATATATAAAGGAATATTTTGTACAGCTGTACAATGTGCTTGTTTTAAGCTGTGCTATTAGAAAAAAAGTCAAAAATTTTAAAAATTCAAAGTTTATAAAGTAAAAAAAGTTACAGTAAGCTAAGGCTAACATATTAGTGAAGAAAGGAACTGTTTATATAAATTCAGAATAGCCTAAGTGTACAGGGTTTATAATGGCTACAGTAAGGCACACTACTGTCTTAAGCCTTCAGTCACTCAATACTGACTCACCCAGAACAACTCCCCAACTTGTAAGTTCCATTCATGGTAAGTCCCCTATACAGATGTGTCATTTGTCATCTTTTATACCATATTTTTATGGTATCTTTTCTCTGCATAGGTATGTTTAAATGAACAAATACTTGCCATTGTGTTCCAACTGCCTACAGTATTCAGGACGGTAACATGCTGCACAGGTTTGTAGCCTGGGAGCAACAGGCTGTACCATATGCCTAAGTGTATAGTAGGCTGTAAGCATCTAGGTCTGTGTAAGCAGAGACTATGATGTCCACATGATGACAAAATTGCCTAATACCACATTTCACAGAATGCATCCCACTACTAAGCGATGCACGATTATACTATGATTAATGAGGTTATGCGGGCACAAATATCATGGGAATTTAAAAGGAATCTAAGATTCTGTAAGAATTCTTAAGTCGTGTTATTTTACTCTGTGAGTTAAGTAAAATTGCTTTCACAATTAAGTTTTGAGTTAACATAAAGCTATATCTAGAAATAATCTCAAGAAAGTATTTATGGCCAAAGCATTTTAATTAACATAGGTTGAATATTCTTTCAAATACTCTTAAATCTGAGTAACAATATGCATACTAATGTATCACTCCAGCAGTTGTCATTCTTCATCAACAAAAGATGGCTGTAACTGTAGAATATACAGCCATGGGAATAACCTAAGTGTCATGATTCATTTACAAAATGATCTCTGAACAGTGTATCAACCTAGGAAATTTGGTATTATTCAGAATTGAGTAGCAGAAAGGGTTGCTTCAAAAACAAGGATAATTTGAGCATTGCTCAAGCTTAACTAAAGACATGTACACATGCATACATGTTTGTGCAAGAGTGTTCATGTTATCAAGATACAACTTACACAGAATAAAGTACAAAGATTTCAAATGATAGTTTCATGATTTGTACATCTGTAGATCATGTGAAAACCACCAAGACAGCATTTTCAGCATTCCACAAGACTCTTCTGTGCTCCCTCCCCAGGTCAAACCATTATTTGAACTGTATTGCTATACTGTAGTTTAGTTTTGCTTTTTCTTGACCACCATATAGAAGTTATCATATGACATGAACACATTTGGGTTTAGCTTCTTTGGCTGAATATTAAGTCTATGGAATTCATCTATCAATAGTTTGTTCTTTTTAATTGCTAAGAATGCACCATGATTTATCCCTTCTACTACTGATGGGCATTTGAGTTGTTTCTAGTTTGAGGCTATTATGAATTAAGTCATTATTTGTATTTTGTGTGTGTGTGAACACATGCATTGCCTGCATTTTTGTTGAATACGTACTTAGGAGTGCAAATTGCCAGGTCATTCGGCAGACATATGCTTGACTTCAGTAGATTCTGCCAATGATCGCAAGGAAGTCATGGCCTAATGAGAACTTTCAAAAACAGTCTATCAGCTTGAGTATGGCAAACAAGCAAACAAAAATAGCACCAAACTCTCTTGCTCCCTTGCCAAAAAGAGGTGCAAAGCTATAGAGGGCTTACTTTTCAAAGATGTTATATAGTCAGGACTGAAAAAAGAAGTGAAGAAAGATTTGGACAAATTTATGGATGATACCATAAATTACCTGAAAGAGGGTAGATGTGGGACATACTTAACATAAAACAGACATCAGAGAAGATATAACTGAAGGCTTATACTGAATAGATACAAGGACTGACTTTTGGCAATGGACCCAATTATATGCCCATGAACATTAGCAAGCAAACACTGCAATTTCTATTCAATATCGAAAAGACAGAAGCAGAGTGTCCAGGACTCATTTAATGGGAGTAGGAAATTTAAGAAGCCATACAGCCTATCTTTTTTAAAGGCAAGGGGGCACGCACAACACCGCAAAAAGAGCCCTGGCCCAGTACTGGTTACACATTTTAATGGATGGCAACTGAAAGACCAAATGCTTTGGTCATCAAGATGTGTGTCCAATGTCTGGGGGTAGATGAGGGAGAGTCAAAAGTATTCCTCTTGCCTCAAAGGGATTTGTCTGGTGGATCAGTATGATTAGAGAGCATAATTCCTTGTCTGTGCTGCTCCAATGATTGTACTCATTCAAGAGTTCCATTTCTTTTCAGCAAAACAAGGCATTCCTTTTCCTTTCCCATATGTGTCAGCTTTAGAAACTGTAATCTCCTTTCTAAACTACATCAATAGATCCAAAGACAGATCTTTTGACAAGTGCTTGATGCTTTCTTCAAAAAAGTAGTATTTGTCCCCCAAAATACTTTTTCATACCAAATGGTTGTGTCATATTTACACAAGCATGGAAGTTCTTGACACCTTTAAGGTACACCTTAAACCCCAAAATCAAGCTTCAAATTCAATATTATCTTCATCCTCAGTGATTCCAAATCACAATTAAAAAAGAAACCCTGGTTCTTTGCTTTCAATCAATATAATCCCCTAAGAGTCCAAGCATCAAAACAGTCACATAAAATATTTTAGCTTTATGTATTTAGAATAAACTGATCCAGTAAGGTGATCAATCAATTTTCAATTACATTTGGCATCTCAATAAGAAGACAGGGCATATATTTAGAACTGACAACAGTCACTAAATGAGAGGGTTCATACTTTAAGGATTCCACAAACTTCCAGAGTATGTAAATTAGCACTATTATTCACTAACAAAGCAGCATTTTTTCTTTAAACAACAACTCACCTAGACTTTCTACACTGTCACAATTTTAAAAGAACACAGGAATATTCTAAATGTCCCAAATTAAAGCCAAATAGATGACTATAATTAAATAAAGAATTTGCAATTAAACAAATGTATAGATTTTTACATGGAGTTTGCATATAAAAGATACCCATTCAAAATATATAATGAATATATCTAGACCCCTTTCTTTATAAGTTCACCTTTAAATTTTTAGAATATATTATAAAGTTCAAATTTATACACTTATCACTCTGACTGAATAAAGATTCTCTATATGCTATTAAAGCAAACTGCTAAACTAATATTTTAAAATACAAATACTTAACATGAAGTTTAGCTCATACATTATTTTATACAGAATACTTACTACATCAAACTTCTGAGTGATGTTCCCCTGGACATCAAGCAAATAAACCTTGCCATAATGTGTGCCCAGTGCCAAAAACTGTAAGAAGAACAAAGAGGCCAATTAACATACTATTAATACACAAGCAGTAATAAAACCATTTTTAAAGACAAGATGTTTAATGCATAAATGATCTGCAATGTCTCAGAAGATATGCATTCCTTGGAGAAGGCTTGTTTCCAGCTTCAGGGAAATAACAGAACAGGGCCTATTTTATTGTGATAGTGCAAGCTGGCTGTCAGAATGACTCATGAGGACCCTCATTTACTGACAACTAATGATGTGTATGCAGTCTATACACAATGCCTGATGGACTGAGGCAGTAAATTAAAAATGCAGCGGTGAAAACACGACCAACCTACAGTTGAACTCAAAGTGAGAACAGAATGATTCAGAAACTCGCCCTAATTTATGGCAAATGTGTAAATCTGTGCTATCACTTAAGCTGCACATATATACAAACAACAAATTATTTTTTCAAATGGAAAATCCATGCCATATTGAGACCAGAAATCTCAGGTGTACTCATACCATCAGTTAGCTTTAGGATGCTTCCACAAAAGTTAATGTATAATATTGAGGGTAAATGTTTATATTCTCATGCAAAAAAAAAACAAAAAACAAAACCTTTTCTGTCATAAAATAACGTTGAGCTACGTATTCATCTTATGTCGTAAATCCTACTGTTTCTTTAATTCTCTGAACTAACCCTAAATAAACTTGAAGAAATAGGACTACCTGAAATATGACATGAGAGTTTTCTTCCTTTTTATTTATTTAACCATTACTCAAATAGTCCAAACTTCTCTGTATTTCACTGCATGTGAGCATGCTTCATTGCAACCCATAATGAAATGCTCAAATTTACAGGCACTACTAAGTGTTTCAGTCAAGCAGCACAATCTTTAAAAAATAACCTTACAGAAAGTCAAGATTTAAAAGGATTTATCAAAATGGAATTGCTTAAAATGAAATTTCAATTCAGGCACTTAAAATATGAGCTACATTAAAGAGGAGTCACAAAAAGGGAAAGAAGGAGTTCATTAGAAATTCATCCCCTGCAATGCCTTTCACTCCTGCAAGGTTGCCTTTTTTCAGGAAGAAAAAAGTCCCCAGGGTAAAAAAATCAATACTGGTTAATAAAACATCAGGTGTGCAGACATAACTAGGTATGACGATTCCGCTGCACAGGCCTGCCTGAATGCACCAGGTGCCATGACGATTAGTCATCCAGGGCAGACAGCAAGCCTGGTGAAAACACAATGCTTGGGCGCTGGAAGGGAAAGGGCGAAGAGGTAATTCTGGGGGGAAATTAGTCTGAATATTTAAACCCAATAGAAATGTTTCCTCTGAAGCAAAAGAATACTCTAATCAGAAATAGAGGACTCGAATGATTGTAATTTTACCTCTACAGTGACAATGACAATATTTAAATAAAAAATATGGCAAGAACTGAAAACAAACAATACTCCATTCTGAGGCTATCTATAGTAAAAAAGAATGGGTCTTAAAAGCTCACTGCACCCCAAGTATTTCACAATATTGATTCTCCTCATAAATAGTGCATTTAGTCTGTTAGGAAACTAAGGGAGAAGGGAGCTTGGATCTTTAAAATGCTTTAATGCTGTCATTCTCTGATACCTCTGAAAAGGCCACTTTTGAACTTCTATTTCATGGAAGTTAGAGTTTTTATGCAGGTTTTATGTAATTTACCCAAGTATTAATTCCTTCCCTTCTTTTTTCTAAATTACAGATTTCATTTAATAGTTAAAATAGAAAGAAAATATAAAATAATTATTTTGATTCTATACTCTCATCCTAAAAACTAAAACTATGTTAGAACATTTTGGGAAAAAAAAGATTCAGTGATTTTGTGACAAATTACCCTGTGTTTAGGAAAACAGCTCATTATTAGATTAAACTAGTGCTATCCCCTTTGAGAAATATACATTTTTCAAAAATATTTAATAAGCCAATTATAGTTATTTAACTACCAATATTATGGATGAGTCATATTTTCATCACTTACTAATACTTTTGACTACTTAAAATATAGCAAAAAATGCAAAATCGCCACAAATGTGACAATATAAATACAAATTCTCAAATTTTACACCCCCTTCCAGCCATTAAAAGCCTTGAACTTTTGTAACTTTTGAGTTTTGTTTCTTTTTTTTAACCTGAAAGTACTTAAAATTCAGGATGGGCAAAGAATAAATATAATTTCATTAGACCCTTTCACGTTTAATTACAGAAACTTGGCTCATTTTCTATACTACCAGATTGGGCATTATCCACTAAGCACAACTGCTTTTACCTTAAACTTTATGTAAGTAATTTAACTAACTGATATATGTACTTCCATAAAGATTAGGCTTTATGTAAGGAAACAAGTAGTAAAGGTGATAAGCAGTCCTTTGGACATCACAAAGGAAACAAAAAGTAGTACATTTTAAAATCTGGTCAACTGTCTAATATCATTTACCTTTCACATAGCATTTTATAGTATTCAAAGCACTACAGCAAGGAGTGCCTTCAATTACACAGGAGGAAATAAGTTCAGAAAGTTGATGAGACTACCCTGGAAACAGTCGATGAGTAGCAGAATTAGGGCCAGGATTAAAAGCTAAAACACTCTTAACTGGATCAGAATCCTCTTTAGAAACACGGACTTCAGATAAAGAGTGCATGTTCTAAAAGTTAGCATTGATTACTGTTCCCAACCATTAGGCTCTTTGGCAAAGTTGGTTTATGTACAATGTTAATAAAGTCTGACCTCTGGCAGGCAAACTTTGTTCTCCATTTCATTCATTCACTGGTTCATTCAACAAACACACAAAAAGCACTACAATATGCTTAGACAATGAGCAAGTGTGACTTAAAAGGGTTATGGTATAATAAGAGAAACAGACATAAAAATGGATTAATTACAATTAAAGAGTATGTTTAAAATGGAAGTATCTCTAAGACCCTACGGAACATAGTAGATGACAGCTGTGCTGAACTTTGAAGAAGAAATTAGAAAATAGACACTAAGGCAGACAGGGTAGGTTTGTGGTAAAAATATTTTAGGCAGAGTGGATACAACTTGCTCAAAGATACAGAGACACATAAAATGCAGGACAAAGTCAAGAAATTATGGATGACACATCTAATTCATACCCAGGGGAAGAGACAGGTGATAAGGTTGAAAAGGTCAGCTAATATGAGGCATTCAAATATTTATGGAGAGATGAAAGGCAGGAAAGTAGAGGAAATCTGAGTGGGTAGGCCTAAATCATTAAGTCATCAGGAAGCCAATAAAGAATTCTAAGAAGGAGGATTACATGATCAGGTTGAGGTTTCTGGAAGATTACTTGAGTAGAACGCTATGAACAAACTAGAGTGAAAGCAAATCTGAAGGAAAATAGACAAGTTCAGAGTATGTGTGTTAGTTCCCAGGAAAAATAAAGAATGCCTGAACAGAAGAGAAGAGCATGGATGTCTGTGGATCAAGCAGAAGGGGGTGTTGTGAGTAGAAACAGCCAAGTGTTGCTGCCAGAACACCGCACTAACGGCAGACAGCGGTAAGACACAGGCCAATAATATAAAGGGAGCAAGATCTTAGAGAGCTTTACACACAACATTAAGGGGCTCAGGTCTTATTTCATAGTTGAAAAATCATACCAGGGTTTTAAAATCTGTATTTTCAGCAGATCATTCTGGCAACCAGGTGGCAGATGGGTTTAAAGTGAAAAAAATTAGAGGCACAAGAGATTTATTTACTATGTAGAGGCAGGAGAAGATAAGAGCCTAAGCTAGAACAAGAGTAGTGAGAAAATCACCAGGACTTAGGGAATGGCTAGGTGAAAGGGGAGAAGGATTCATCTGTGGCTTAGGTAACAAAGGAGGTGGTGATGCCACCAAATGGGATAAAGAACAAAGATAGATGCAAGTTTAGAGGGAAATGAAAATGAGTTCATTATGGACATGCTGAGGTTCAGGTAAAAAGACAACAACAGATAAAGATGTTTAAGAGGCACCCAAATAAATATGCATGCTACTCCAGAAAAGGTCAGTGTGCAAGTGGTCACAGAAATCCTGAGATTTAAAACCAAGATAAAGTACAAATTAAGAAGAAATGTGGATAATGGACCAAATCCTAGGAAAGCCAACATGTAAAGGAAAAGTGGAAGCAAAGCAAAGTGAAAAAAACAGAAAGAATTATCACAAATGATCAAGAAAATAGAAAAAAAAAAAAAAACAAAACAGTGTCATGATAAGAAGTTCTGAGAAGAAAGGTGAAATCCAGAATTTAAAATCAGCAAAATGTCCATCAGCTGGTGAATGAATAGACAAAACATGGCATACCCATTCAATGGAATACTATTCAACAATAAAAGAGAATGAAGTACTAATACATACTTAATAACGAATGAACCTCAAAATCATTACATTTCCATGAAAGAAACCAGATACAAGAGATCAAATAATGTTCACTGCATTTACATGAAATATGCAAAAACACGCAAATCCACAGAGATATAAAGTAGATTCCTGGTTACCTACAGGTAGCATTAGAGATATTCCACGACATAATATGTATCTCTAAGAAACAAGGGAGGTAATGTGATGAAGTGAAGAACAAAAGTGGACAAAAAGATTCATGAATAGGAGGAAGAAAATCTCTGGGCAGGTGGCTGGGTATGGTAGCTCATGCCTATAATCCCAGCACTTTGAGAGGCTGAGGTGGGTGGATCACCTGAGGTCAGGAATTCAAGACCAGCCTGGCCAATGTGGTGAAACCCTAACTCTACTAAAAATATAAAAATCAGCCAGGTATGGTGGCGGGTGCCTGTAATCCCAGCTACTTGAAGGGAAAAGGCAGAAGAACTGCTTGAATCTGGGAGGCGGGGGTTCCAGTGGGCCACGATTGCACCATTGCACTCTAGGCTGGGCAACAAGAGTAGGACTCCATCTCAAAAAAAAATGAAAAGAAAGAAAGAAAGAAAAACTCCTGTGTGTAAGAATGAGTGTAAAAAAGAGGTCAGGAATTGAGGATGATCATACCTGACAATTTCAATCTTCTTACACAGAAATGACATCATCCTCTAAGAAAGAAGGGACAGAGGTTCAGAAGAGGGACTGAGAACTAAAGGAACTGACAAAGGACAAATAATTCAGAACAATTTTTAGTGACAAATTTACCTAGGTGTGAGAGTCTGTACCAGCACATGGCTGTCCTGGTCATGAGAGCACTGATTCAGGATTGAGAGTATGGCTGAGGGGCACAATGGGAAGACAGGGACATAAGAGAATTGAAGATGCTAGTAAGATAGAATTAGGATAATCAATCATTTCATAGACATAGAAAAATAAAAGAAAAAGAATGAATGGATTAGAGATCAAGACTCCATAAAGTCATAAAGCTTATGGGAAAATGAGCACAAAAGCTTGAAGAATAAGGGGTCAACAAAGAGTATCACGGAAGCTGGAGATCCTCAAGTTCCAGTGCTGACACCATCCAAAGTATGGCCGTACCAGTGAGGACATGAAACAGGGAAGAGGTGAGGGTCACTGGAATTGAATTTGGTTAAAGAACTGCAAAGCCAGTCTTCAGTGAGTGAAGAAAAGTGAGCGAAGTTGGACAATGGCAGCAATGGAAAGGGGTCGATGGCACTGCAGCCAAACAGCAGGCAACTCAAAGGAGAGGGTTGCTGGTAAAACGAGAGAAAGATGGCACACATTCTAATAAAGTGTTGTGGGTACAGGACTCTATTTACAATGAAACAAAGTTTGAAGTAAAAAGGAACTGGGTGGGAAGCCAGCAGGAGGATGAGGCCACACTACTAGTAACATAGGATAAAGCCCGGAGATGGATCAGACAATCACAGTTTGCTTTTTGTGGAAGGATTAAAACTTCCAAGGTCACAGGGAAGGGAGCAATGGCTGAAGCTCCCTGGCCTCCAATATTCCGACTATGACACAAACTGTTTTGGTCCAAGAACAGGCTAAGAGTGCTATGTAGTACTTACCCTGGACCCAGAAAGTTGGTGGGAGCTTTGTTATAGCAAGGACCCAGATGTGGAATAAATTCATTGCCTCATATAAGTAATAATTTGGGGCATTTCTACTATTCCTAACACCTACAGTGTAATCTCTTTTACTCTTATAAAGGCACTGAGCTTCACATTATTTCTAATCTTGACAGGTTCCTAATTTAATCCTTATAACTTGAGGAATTAAGCGACCAATACAGTTTACAAAAACCACATCACATAAATCTTTCACTTTGATCACTGTCTACATTCTACTTAATACACTCTTGGAGTGTGTTGTATGTGTGTGAGTGGGCTTGTATACACATATAAAATATTTGGGGTTTTTTTGTTGTTGTTGTTGGCGGGGAGGAAGAAAGTAGTGGCAAGGAGACAGAATTACTGTAAGAAACCACCACCAAAAGCATCAGGACTCCAAAGCACAAGCAAATTTACAATAGAAACAATTTACAGAAGAATCCTCTGAAAGTGCTACCTTACCTTGTCATGGACTGTCATGCAGCTAGCCGCATCCTTCTGAAGAATTTCAGTTACCCCATTGGAAAGTCTTTCATACTTCAGCTTGGGTTCCTCTTCGCTCTCTTCTTCCTGCACAAATGGCAAAGAAAAATGACGGCCATCAAAGATTTATTTGTTTTGAAAATCTCAGAACACACTTCTTACAGGAGAACCAGAGATGCTTCCTTCAATTATGTCAATAATTCCAATGATAGCTAAAGGTTAAGATTTTCGTGTTTCATTTTGCCTAGGTATATCAACTGCTACAACTTCACTGGTAAAATAAATTCAAAAGTTGGAAACAGGAGTATACACACAGTGTTATACTGCCACTAATTTTACATGTTCAACCTTACTATTTGGTACGGCTTCATAAAATATTCTTAATCCCCACAGTTATGGAATAAAGTTAGTAATCAATATTTACTATAATAGCCATGAATTAATAAATCAAGGAGAGCTGTAAAAATTATTACAATAATGATTCAGGGTGAGATTTTATTTTACATCAATAAGTAATGAGAAACAAAAAGTTTTCAATAAAACTATGATGACATAAAGCCAGCCAAAATAGAAGTTCATAACAATAATGTACCCATTGACAATAGCTGACAACATTAAAGTCAGAACACCACACAAACCACCACAATTGCATAGTCTTCACCTTCAGCTAATATTAGAGTAGCTTGAGGACATCAGTGCTCCCACCGCAAATAACCGGAAAGGCTTAATGAAATATACAACAATATCTATCCAAGGCATCAAAGGGCCGCTAAGCAACCTCAACTAGAAGGGTCAAGATTCCAGGGAAGCAGAGAAGTGAGCTGGCATTCTACAGCCACTTTCTTCTTGCAGGCATTTACTAATTCTGGGTGTAGGACAAGAAGCCAAGAACCCAAGCTCTGGGGTAGGAAAGCAGCACACCTTCGGTACCTGTAGGGATGGAGTGACAAAACTGGAGACTTGAGGGGCCAAGATCCCCGTGGAAGAAAGGCAGAGACCTGAGCTTGTTACACAGCTACTTTTCCCTGTAAGACAACTATCAATTTCTAAAGCTGCACATGATGAAGCTAAAAAGCTAAACAAAAAGAAAAATGCAAACCAGCTGCCGTGATGTGTTAAGAAGTTAAGGGTAAGAGTTCAAGAGGCATTGGGAAATTGAATCCTGGTGAATATCAGTCTTAGTTGGGACCCTTGGTGCCCAGAGAACACAAAAACTTAACAACCTCCCAAAGAGCTTTGACTCAGTTTAATCTTTGATTGGAGTAAGGTATGTAATCACCAACATACCTGTCTAGCGAAGGAAATAGGGACTCCTCTTTGGAGAAAGAGGAGCCTACTGAGGCCTCTACAATTTTTGATGTACAATACTAAAGATTCAATAAAATATTACCAGGTATGCCGTAAGACAGGACCAAATGACCAAAACTCACAATGAAAAATGACCATAAAAACAAACAGACGGGTGACTGAGACTTTGAAGTTAGCAGTAAAGGGCTTTAAAATAACTATAAATACATATTCAAAAAAATAGAAAAAGAAAACTGATGAAAAGTTAGAAATTTTCAAGAGAATTCTAATGTGTAAAAAAACCAAAATAGAATCAAATAAAAATTTTTACACTGAAAATGATGTTAACTGAATTAAGATGTCAATAGATGGTTTAATAGAAGATTAGCAAAACAGAAGACAAAATATGTGAAATGAAAAATGAGTTAAAAAAATATCCAAAGGGAACCCCAGAGAAGAAAAATGGAAGGAAAATATATAAAGGAATGTATGAGTTTTGTAAAACAGAGTGAAAAGGTCTAACATACTTTTCATTACAGTCCCAGGAGGATAGGGAAAAATGGAAAGGAACAGAGCAACATTTAAAGAGGTAACAACAGAATTTTCCAAAACTGTTAAGACAGCAACCTACAAACTGAAGAAGCTCTGTAATAAGCAGGATAAATATGAAGTCACGCCTAAGGTGCATCATAGTGAAAAGAAAATTAGGCAAAAGAAAAATGACTTGTAGAGTACTAAGTGATCTGCCTATTGAAGATGACAAAACTGATGGGACACACTAGACAGAGACCATAAACTCAAATCTTTACAGAAGTCTTCATCTCTGAGACAAGGGGTTGCATCTTCACATGGAAAGAGGTTAATTTGTGAATTAATGGAAATGACAGAATATATCAAGCATCATGCTACAGACTTAACATCAGATATCCCATTTCATCCTAACTTAACAGAAAAACAAACCCTACTGAAAGTTAAGTATAATTATCCCATTTTACAGATTTTCAGTAAAAACTGATGATCAGAGATTTTAAGTAATTTCCTCAAGACATACAATGGGTAGAGGAGCAGCTAAAATTCAGCTATGTGTGCTCTAAAGTCACTATCTCCAAAATCTCCTATGAAAATGCCTCTACGAACCACAAAAAAGTCTATTCTAAACCTATAAATAATGATAAACTATGTGATCAATAGAAAATGTTTTAAAATGTGTTTATTTAGCAGGTACATTAGCTAACTACTGCTGCATAACAAATTATGCCAACACTTGCTGATTTACTTATTTTATTATTACTTTCTACAGAGACTCATTATGTTGCCCAGGCTGGATTCAAACTCAGGTTCAAGAGATCTTCTCACCTCAGCCTTCCAAGTCGCTAAGACTACAAGCATGTGCCACATTCCTGGCCACCAAAATGTACTGATTTAAAACAACAATAAATATGTACTATTTTACAGTTGCTAAAGGTAATCAATTCAGAAGTAGCTTAGCTGAATGATTCACTGAGGATCTCTCATGGGACTGCAGACAAGATGTCAGCTAGGGCTGCAACTATCGAAGGCCTGACTGGGGTTGGAGGATCTACTTCTAAGCTGGCTCAATCAAATGGATGGCAAGTTGGTCCTTGCCGCTGGCAGAAGGCTTCAGTTCCCTACTTCATGGACCCCACCACAGGGCTGCTTGATCAAAACATGGCAAGTGGCTTCCTCCAGAATGAGTGATCCAAGAGGAAACAAAGTGGAAGCACCATCCATGTTTCATATGGCTTCAGATGGAACACTGTCATTCCTACAGTATCCTTTCAATCATACATGTCAGCCATGATTCAGTGTGGGAGTGGCAGACAATGAGCATGAATAATAGGAGGTGAGAATCACTGGGACCATCATGCAGGCTAGCTACAAGAATAGTAATAATACCTTAAGAGCCATAAGCTCAGTTAAAATCAGTATTTCATATCTACTGATGAGCTGTGTTAAATTCCCTAGATATAAATAAGCTATTAGATGTTTATTTAGGATGCAAGTATTAAAAACAAAGATGATGTACCTATTATTAACTTTCCGAGAATAACTTTAAGAATAGCAACAAAAGGGAAGTATAAGCAGAGTTATCCATAGGACCTACACATTTCTATGAAAAGGTAGTGATAATCTATCCAACCCAAGGAGCTGTTATACCCCAAAACTGACCTGTTTTTAATACAAAGTATAAAATAGCTAATTAGCCAAGTCTAAATAATTTGAAAAAAGAAAACTACAAAAAACAACAAATAAACACTTCTACTTATGTATCTACAAGCAAGAAAGAGAAATCATTACAAAGTTAATATTAAGTGTAGCACAGATGATGTGTGCATTCTGAAATAAACATGTAAAATACAAATTGAATCCTGAGTGCTAGTCTTTATAATAAGATGCCACATGTTGCTCAAGTCTGGACATCAAATGTGCATCCAATGTGAAAGTTAATTCTAGCCTCTTGACTATTTTGCATAAAAGCACTCATCCACGGACCATTAGATAAAGTTACTGTAAATAAGGTTTTCCTGTCTTACTTATAAGTGAAAACTAAGTAATTTCTCACACATAAATATACAGAAATAAATACTTTCACAACACAGTTCAGTGAAGCATCCTTACTGGGTTTCAAAAACCATAAATAAAATGAAAACTCCAATATTAGGCATTTGATGTACCATTTCAGTTTTCTGACAGGTATCTTTTATGTTAAGTTAAAAGCAGGATAAAGGTAAATTTTTAAGTTTTTTTTTCCTCCTTGCTGTAAACAAAGAAAATACAAAGTAATTCAAAAATAGGATTCATGGAGGTTATTCTGCTGTTGCAGACTCTGTATCACATTTTAAATAAAAAACAGTTAAAAATCTAAAATAAAATAGAGTTTCTCTTTAACAACAACAAAAAAAAAATAGAAAAAAGGTTTTCATGCAGTTTGAACTTCCATGGTAAACAACTCAGCATTAATAAAAAGCAAATCAATAGTTTTTGTTAAATTTTAATAATCCTACAAACCTACAAATAAAACCATCAACAGTCTGAGTTGAGATGACAGTTAACTGCGTTTCTATGACAACCTAGTGGAATAGTACAAGTCCTGACTTGCAGCTAAGCGAAGATATGAACAGAGTGACATTTACCCATACAAGAAAAATTTGCAGCTTTCTTTTAAAAAGAATCAATTCCTCACTCACATAGATTTTTACTAAGTGTGGAGCACTTTTAATTAAAGACAAGTCCTTTATACCACCCTACAGAATTCTAAACACTACCTGAAAATAAATGTCACACCATGGTCAATCTTACTGAGTTTTGGACTTAGGAGGGGGAAAATTACCTTTAAGGATAACAAATTAAGATAATTAAAGATTTCTCCCTGAAAAACTGTTTAGTAATTTTGTTACATTGTTACCATGAGGTAAATTTTCATAGAGGAAGTCTTGTTTAAATAACCTGGTCTTATTTACCAACAAGGATATTTTACGTTTCTTTTCACCTAATAATTTAAAATTTGTGTAAAAGAAATTGATTTTTTCAGTGTTTACAATCAAAAATAATTGTGTAGAATGGATTCTACATTTTACATCTCATTTAAACATATCTTTCACATATTAGTACATTTTATATGGCATCACCGTTATGGTCCAAACGAAGACTTGAATTTTACATTTCAAAAATGTGTCAAATGAATTCTGGGGTTAAGAGAAAGAGCATTACATTTTCTGCTGTTACTACTTATACAGAACTTAAAATGTCACCTCTGGATACCATTTCTTTACTAAAAT